GGGTTGGGGTGGTGGGGTGGAGGGTTGAGGGGGTGTGAGCCTTTAACACTTTCTGTTGGTGGGGTGCCTGGCTTTGAAAAGTCCAAAAGTGCCAGTTTTTTGTTTTGTTTTGTTTTTTTGTTTTTTTTTTAATCGTCCGACGTGACGTCGATTTCCTCTGGACTGGCTTGTTTGGTGGCGATTCTCCACCGGTTAATGTGATGAGTCCCTTTTTTCTTCTGTTGTGAGTCTGAACCTTCCTCTTCCAACTTTTGCCGCTTGAACTTTGTCCGTCTGTTCTGAAACCATACTTTTACCTAAGGGAGGAAAAGCACCGGCCCGTTACTCCCGTGCCCGCTCGGATACCGGGGCTGTCCCCTGCCCGCTGCCCCCGGGACGTGCCGGGGGGCTCCGTGCCCTGCCTGCTCCGTGCCCTGCCTGCATCATGTCCTATCTGCATCATGTCCTACCTGCTCAGTGCCCTGCCTGCACTATGTCCTGTCTTCACCGTGCCCTGCCTGCTCTGTATCCTGCTCTGGACGTGCCAAGGGGCTCCAGGCTCTGCCTTCACCATGCCCTGCCTGCTCCATGCCCTGCCTAAAACCGTGCCCTGCCTGCTCCATATCCCGCCCTGGTTGTGCCAAGGGGCTCCGGGCTCTGCCTGCTCCGTGCCCTGCCTGCTCCATGCCCTGCCTGCTCCATGCCCTACCTGCTCCATATCCTGCCCTGGACGTGCCAAGGAGCTCCGGACTGTGCCTGCACCGTACCCTGCTTGTTCCATGCCCTGTCTGCACCATGTCCTACCTGCAACATGTCCTGCCTGCTCCATGCCCTGCCTGCACCGTGTCCTGCCTGCTCCGTGTCCTGCCCTGGACGTGCCAAGGAGCTCCGTGACCTGCCTCCTCCATGCCCTGCCTCCTCCGTGCCCTGCCTGCATCGTGCCCTGCCTGCATGTGCCCTGCCTTCTCCATGCCCTGCCTTCACCATGCCCTGCCTGCACCATATCCTACCTGTTCCGTGCCCTGCCTGCTCCGTGCCCCGCCGGCCCCGGTTTCCCGGTGCCCCGTGTGCCCCCAAACCCTAACACGGGGAAATGCCCAGGCTCTCTGACCCACGCCCCCCCCCCGGCCCCTCCAGCGGACCCACGCGTGCCGCAGCGATGCGTGTGTGCGGGGCTCCGCTCCCCGCAGCCGCGCAGGCGGGAGGCAGCCTGTGCGCACCTGGCGCAAGGACGCGAGTCTTCCGCGCATCACTAGCCCCGCGCAATTAATGGCCGCTAAGCAACCCCACGCGGGGAAACACAGAGCGTGGGCGGGCTGTCAGCACGGCGGACCCACCGTCGGGGCAGCCCGACCCCCCGACCGGCAGCGCCGGGCCCGGCCGGCGGAGAGAGGGCCTGGTCCCTCTTAACGGGACGGGGCTGGGGGGCGGCGGGGCGAGACCTTTTCCTCTCGGAAAAAAAAAATTAAAAAAAAAAAAAATGAATAAAATGCAAGAAAAAGGCCCAGAATGAAAAACGTCCGGCGCTCCCCGCAGCGTCTCGCCGGGACGCGCCGTCCAGGAGCCACCGTCGTGCGGGGAATCCCGCAAGTGCCGCTGGAAATATCCCCCCGAATTCGTGCGGCGCCGAATAAATCTGATTTAACCATCCGGCAGCTGACTCCAGTGCTTTAATTACAGATAGTATTGATCTGGGAGCTATCTCCAGGGCTGGCCACACTCCTTGTAGCGGCCAAAGGTAAACATTATTTTTTTTTTTTTAAAAAGCAGTTTAAACTCTGGTTCTGTCTGAAAGTGCCTGATAAAGGCCCCAGCAAGGGGGGAAAGGGGAACTGGAGCATTTTAATAAGCTGGTTTAACCCGCTTCGCTGCCTCTTCAGAACAGAGACCTGCCTGGCCGGACACACATCTCTGCTGCATTTTCATATTCTCCAAAAGTCCCCCATTAAAAAGCTGAGCGGGGAACAAGGGGTGAGTTTAATTTGCTTTTAGTTTGCTAATTGAAGGGGAGGACGGTTCATTTCTGCACGCTGATCTCCCAAAAGGGAGCTCATTTGTAGGGGACTGGGGGTTTGACATCCGGACAAAAGACCCCAACCAGCTTCGGAATCAAGCAGCACAAAGACCACCTTAAATACAGCTTTCCAGTGGAAATAAGCCTGTGACCGGTCCCTTGTTCGGAGAACCTCATAAAAGTGGCGATCCCTTTTTATTGTTTTGTTAGGGAGACATTTTAAAACAAAAGCTCCAACCTCTTTATTGCTTCCCCCACGAAAAGGAGTTAAAAAAAAAAAAAAAAAGTGTTACAACTTAATCCGCCCAGAGAACGCTGTGTTTACTGGGAACTTTGAACTAGGCTGAGGCTGGGTATTTTGGCTTCTTTTTTTTTTTTTTTTAAGTACAGTGCCACATACTGTAGCAGAGACAATCCCCATCTGGAACCCTCCTCTCTCCACGAGTTCTCCTGGAAGGGCACGAAACAAAAGCCCGACACAACAACAACAACAACCAACAACAACAACTACAACCCCCCCAAAAAAACCCAGCCTT